TCGCAATCCGCTTACTCCAAGAGTAATTACTGCCTTCCCAAGGCTAATTGACTCTTCGCTCTAAACTCCAAAACTGATTTTTATTAATTTTTTTATCCTAATTTTAAAAGTTAAAATTTTCCGAAATATTGAAAAAATGTATAGTAAAATCTTAAACCATGCATAACTACGAGCTACCTAGCCCCGTACCGTATTCCTGATCGGGTATGGTCACACCATGCACATCTCGTGTGACACACACACCCCTGTTGTAACGGGGTTAAAATAAGGTTGTGGCCAAACGGGGCTGGCGTACACGCTGAACCTTCGGACACGGATACGCACCCACCCGGTGTTTTATGTGGGCTTGCTCAAGCCGTACCGGGATCCAGCGCAAGTGAACGCGGAAGCGTTGGCGCCGCAGTAGATTTCACGGGCCCGCGGCCACCCAAACTCGAGTTAATTTTTTTTTAATAAATTAACTTGGTTCTGAGCACGGAGTGCAACAACCTCCATTTCCAATAGAGACAAGCGCTCCACTGTTGCCTGCAGCGATGCATTCGCCTGCTCCACGGCTAGGAGTCGCTCCGACAGAGAGCGGTAGTCCTTAAGGCGAGGCAGCCGGCACACGACGTGCTTCAAATCGTCAAGAGCGTTCGCACAGCGATATGCTACTTCAGCATGACGCTCAGCGGAGCTCCGATTACGAAGGACCTCATCCTCAAGGGCTCGAAGAGCATCACGAGTCACCGGACGGCGGGCGTCACCGCCCGCCACCGACACTTCTCGATGAGAACAGTGACGTTCACTATCACGTAAAACGTCTTGTCGGACGACATCGTCACCAGGGTCAAACCCAATATCTGGTGAAGTCGCGGGGATATCCCGACTCAGAAAACGCGTGGGAGTTTGAGGCGCCACTTCGGATAGATTATCCAGAGGCAGCGGATTGCGATCTGCTGCACTGATACTTGGTTCTTGTAAAGAACGAAAGGTCGGTGACCTAAAGACCCTTCCTCAAGCGCAAAGCCTTGGTAGCATTTGTAGTCAATCATCACCTGAGTCGTTTCGACTAATCCTCTGTGAGGATGGAGGGATTCTCCTCTTTGCCCCAGGGCATACAGGATGGGCTTAATAAGTTGATGTCCTTGCTTGGCCCTGAGGGCGTGCAACACCTTGTAGCACAAGGCCCCGAGGCGATCGGTGCGTGTCTAGAGGCGTCTTCGAGTTACGAAAACGCGCTGCTAGAGCACCTGCAGTAGAAGATGTCTGCATCATTTGCGTCTATGACGCAACCGTCAGTGACGGATGATCTTCACCGCCTTAAGCCGCTCATGGTGAGCGTTAAGGTCTTTGAGGGGAAGGATGGAGAAAATCTCCTGCACTGGGTGAGAGAGGTTGAGGCGGCCATCGCATCCGCCGTGTTCCAAACCGAGCAACAGCGCGTGGCGCTTGCCATCTCAAAACTCGGTGGTCGAGCGCGAGAACGGACACTGACGTCTGGCACTTCGGTCGGAGCTGCGTTTCCCTCCTGGGCGGAGCTGAAATTGCAGCTCTCACCGCCTAATCAAGCGTTTCGCGTGCGATCGCGTTTCCTTGCCGCCCGACAGGGTAACCAGAAATTGGTGGACTTTGTCCAAGAGATGCGAACTCTCATTGCCAGGATGGCAGTAGATCCTCTCCCGGTGGCGGTCACAGTGACCGTGTTTATGAAAGGCCCCCGCACCGGCGTGGCCAGAATGGAAGTCTTCCGTGTGCATCCGTTCTCATTTGAAGAAGCGGTGAATCCGGCATTGAATGCCGAATTTAATTTCAAGTCAGCATGACTTGGTTGGAATGCACACTCCAACAGCTCGTCGAGCGGGCCTATGCCCATGGATCTTAGCTATGCTGAGGATGAGGGAGCAGAGATCCGAGCTGCTGGGCAGCATACACACATTCGACGATGTTTTGTCTGTGGTGACACCCATCACCTGCGGAATGGATGTCCCCTGCGCAAGGCGCGTCAAGGTTCTTCGAACCATCGCCCCAACGCCTACCAGTCTAGTTCTTCGCGGAGAGACGACAGCACTCAGTAGGCGCGGGGCGACCTACTGGGAAGAACTGAGTTCTGTTGAGCCTCAGGAAGGCATCGGTCAACAGAGCCCAGCCCCGAAGAGCTCCGTGCTCTTAAACACGGGACGTCTGTGCAAGGCGGGCTTGCTGGTCGTGGAGGCGACCGTAAAGGGCTTTGAGTAGCCGAGGAAGATCCTCATCAATTCTCGGGCGTCGGGCAATTATGCTCGACGCTACACGATGGAGGGAAGTCAGCCGTATGCTGAGGCGCTGAAAGCGCGGTTGGGTGACATCGTCACTGTTCGCTTAGCGACGGGGACGCAAGTCACGGTCTTGAAGGTCCATGTGGACCTCGGATTCAAGTTGCTCGACTTTGATAGCGTGGAACGCTGACTAGTTTTAGACTTGGATGCAAGGTATGACATGCACGGTATGACCTCATCCTAGGAATGGCATGGTTGGACACCATGAGCCATGTATTGATTGGAGATCATAGGAGACAAAAGCGCTATTGGCGAGAGCCCTGGACCGAGACGGTTAACGTGCTAGACATTGGAATGTTCGAGTTGGTAGACACCAACAGTGTATTGGACAGGATACCCGAGCGTGGCTCGCGGGCTGATCGTGGAGTGGCACGTTACCCACTGAGCGCTGCCCGAGTTTCA